ATGTACATAGTACTGTGTTGGGGATACAGCAGGTATTTAAGACAAGCTTAAGATGGTGCGAGTTACATGGGTGAAGTGCCAATTACAACTCAGTCTGATGGGTCCAAGGATCGGGGTGACTATAAAGTGCTGGGGGTACTCAAGTGGCACCTCTGCAGTCTTTGACTCAGATTCCTGTGATCTGCTTGTTACTCACGGAATACTTCTGGCACCAAATGTGTGGGGTTTTTCCTCTTACCAACAACCAATTCTCCAACTTTACAGACACCAGCTGGGCATTCTACAATGTAATTCAGTTCTGACACTAGCTACCTGGAGTTAGCATCAGATCCCACCAGTTAAGGGCTCAGTCCCACAAGACTGTCCCCACTTCAGATGCCAGGCTCAAATCTGGGCCTCCTGTACTTCTGACTGACCAGCTATAAAGTCAAAGGGTTTTCATGGCCCCCACTTCAGGTTCAAAAAATTGCTAGAACGACTCACAGAACTCAGGAAAATACTTTACTTACATTTACTGGTTTATTATAAAAGATATACTTAGAAACAGCCAAATGGAAGAGATGCATGGGCAGGGTAAGGAGGAGGGGCACAGAGCTTCCATGCCCTCTTTGGGCGTGCCACTACTCAGCACCTTGAGGTTCACCAATCTGGAAGTTCTCCAGACCCCTTTGTGTAGGGGTTTTTGGAGGTTCCATTATGTAGGCATGACTGATGAGTCACTGGCCGATGGTGACTAACTCAATCTCCCACTCCTCTCATCTCCCCAGAGGTCGGGGGATGGGGCTGAAAGTTCCAACCCTTTAGTTACATGGTTGGTTCCATCCTGAAACTGTCTAGGGGCCCACCAAGAGTTGCCTCATTGGCATAAACTTGGGTATGGTTGAAAGGGGCTTATTTATTATGAACATCAAAAGATGCTTCTCTCACCCCTGTTGCTCAGGAAATTCCATGGGTTTTAGAAGCTCTTGTGCCAGGAACCAGGGATGAAAACCAAATATATATATATTTTTTTACATCACAGGATCACAGGGATAGAGGCAGATTGATTGTGGAGGGAGTTCTTACCTAAGACTAGAAGAAGGTGTTGGTGTTAGCCAGTCAGAGGGAACACAGTGTAAAAGGCCTGAGTGGGAGGGAGGGTGGCTTGCTCAAGGAACTGAAGACCCTTGATATTGCTGTAGCTTGAAGAGCTCAGAGAGAGGTAAAAAATTACGCTGGAGAAGTAGGTGGGTAGGTAAGTCATGGCCTTGGAAACCAAGGGTGTCTTGACTTTACCTTTGGGGTATTGGGGGTCAGCTGAGAGGTATAAAGCAGGGGAGTGACATGATCAGGTAGTTCAGAGGAATTCCTGTGGCTACACTATGAGACTGAAGGAGACAAGTCTAGTGGCAGATCAGTTACGCGGCTGTCAAAAGTAGGTGATAAAGGAGATGATAGTGGTGGCCCATCTGGGGTAGTGCAGTGGAAATCGAGAGGCACTGGTGTATTTGAGATTAACTTGATGATAGTACTTGCAAACTGATTGCAGACAGGAAAAGGGAAGAACTGAGAATGACTCAGGTTTGTGACCTGAAGTAGGAGGGAATAACAGCGGGAGCAGGCTTCAAGGGAGCAGCAGTGACCGGAGTGTCAGTGTTTTCCTGGGAGCGTGGCACTGTTCCATGTCCGCGTATTGACTTAGTCCTCATGAGAACCCCATGAGGTGGGTGGGAGTAGCACAAGGATACCTCAGAAAGTTCATGGGAACACGCATATTACCTTTAATTCTATTTTTCCATGAACTTTTTGAAGTAGCTGCTTATGTCCATTTGAAGAAGAGGCTGAGTAGCTTACCCATGGTTACCCGGCCTGGCAGTGGCAAAGCTGGGATCAAAACCCAGCAGTTTAGCTCCCGAGGTACCACACTGTACAGATGATACTCCACTCCCACGGACTGCCCCACTATATTTGGCACAGAATTAAAAAATTGGAAATGTTTTCTTGGTGGTGACATAAGTGCAGTGGAAATGACACATAGACCTGGGGTATGATCTCACTTTAGTAAATTCTTCTCAGTAAGACCTAGCCACTCCATCCAGCTTTTCAGAAGCTTAGTTTCCACATTAAATAAAATAGAGATAATATAATTTATAGCACTGATTAGAAATGCTAAATGTAGGGCCGGCCCGGTGGCGCACTGCTACAGTGCACCGCTTGGGAGCGCGGTGGTACTCCCGCCGAGGGTTCGGATCCTACATACAGACTGGCCGCTCACTGGCTGAGTGAGGTGCGGGTGCAACACCGAGGGTTGCGATCCCGTTGCCGGTCATGAAAAAAGACAAAAAGGAAAAAAAAAAAAAAAGAAATGCTAAATGTAAAGTGTGTAAGAGTTCCTCGCATTTGATAGTTAATAGCTGCATCTGTTACCTGTTTTCCCCCAAAGTATTTTATTGTAGAACATGTGGCTTGAGTAAAAGGTCATCATTACAGTATTTTTAATGTGGAGTGTATTAGTTTTTGTGTTGCTAAAACAAAATACCTCAGTTCAGGTAGTTTATAATGAAAAAGAGGTTTATTTGGGATAGCTGCATCTGGTGCTGGCCTTAGGCTGGTTCAGCTCTTGGTGGAAAGCAGAAGGGGAGCTGGCCTGAGCAAAGAGATCACATGGCTAGAGAGGAGGCAAGAGAGAGAGGGAGAAGGTGCCAGGCTCTTAATCTATTTCCGCAGAGCTCACTCACTCCCAGGGAGGACATTCATCTACTCATGAGGGATCTGCCCCCATGACCCAACACCTCCCTTCCAGGCTCCACCTCCCAACATTGCCACATTGGGAATCAGATTTCAACATGAGCTTTGGTTGGGGCAAACATCCAAACTGTGTCAAGGGGTGAGGAGGGATGTATCATTTAGAAAAGTTCTTTGGGCGATTTTTTTACTCCTGGTTATGAGCTACTTGCTTAGAAATTAGATTTTGAAAAACCAAAGGCTTCTGACTCCTAACTCTGGAAATCTCTTTTTAAAGCTTTTTGATCTAGGGAAAATTAAATTTGGTGGAGGGGATTTTTAAGGATTTGAATAGTAATTGGATTTGCTACTGGACCTTCTGTTTTTAATGTCAATACATATATTGTAGGGGATGTTGTTCAAAGTGTGGTCCACAGAATTTTATTGGTCCCTAATGAGATGAGGATAGAAATGGGGAGGAAAGGTTTAGAAACTTTAAGAACAACTTGACTGTGTCTGATCTAACAATAAAAAGTTGTGTTTTAATTTTACATGCTTTTCATGTTTTTATATTCCCAGGACATAGTTAGTGGATTTTACAAATATCAGTTCACTGGATGGATTAGAGATAATAAGTTAAAAACACTGAGTACTGCTTTAAAGTAAGTGTTCAGAAATAGCCATGGCTCTGGGGTCAACTGTGTTGGTTTGCAGAATGAATCATTGAATGAACTCTTCCATACCACTTTGATAAAATAACCTGGGCAATTGAGAATAGTCTTTGGCTCTGAGGAGTTAATTACTTATAAAAGTTGACAAATTTCTCAGTTGAGACTTTGCTCTTTGGAGCAAAATAATTTGCAAAGGGCTTCCTTCTGGAATTGCTAAGAGGAAGAGAGACTACTCTTGTTTTGACTGAAAGTCTATCTGAGAGGGAGTCAGCACCTGGAGCCTCAGTAATGCATTTGTATTATGCAGTATGAGATAGGATGGTGATGATATATTCTGGAATCTGAGTAGGAGTCACTGAATAGGAAACTGATTACACATAATTTTAAGTAGTAATTTCAACTAATCAAGTTTACTTGTCGGGGAAAAACAATAGCTGAAGAGGAGAGCATTTGTAAAGACCCTTTTGAAATGTCTTAAAATGAATTTTAGTGCTGAACCTCAACAGTTCTGTTTTTTTAACAGTCAACATAATCGCATTCTAGAGAGGGAGCCTTATGGGACAGGGAAGCCTTGGGGCCAGATGTGAGCATGTGATGTAAAAGCCTCCAGCAGCACTTGACCTTTGGGAGTGTCCTAGGCGCTGGAATGGAAGAGGAGGCTATGTATATAAAAATTCTAGAACAGCTATGTACAAATAAATTCTTTTCAAAATTGACCCCATCAGTTTTTTCATTTAGACTGATCAATAGTGACAGTTTGGCTTCCTCCATCTTTTTAATATAAGCATATCAT